CCAAGTAGTTTTTGGAAGTTTGAAGGAGCAGGGGAGATGAGTGCTCAAAACTTCACAGAAAGTCATGGGTGTTCCAAAGGTTTAAGAAATGTTACTGTACAGTGTTAAGGTGAGAAAGCAAGTGCTAATGTGGGTGCTGCTAGCTTTGATGAGGAGCTAGATCGTGTTGTGGAGGGAAAATTTGCCTGGTTGAAATATTGTATGTAGATGAAACTGGCTTATTCTGGAAGCATGCCAGAACGGACATACATCCACAAAGGGCGAAACCATGCTGGGATTCAAGGCATTCATGGACCGAATCACACTTCTGTAAGGGGGGCGAGTAGCTGATCAAGGTAAAACCTCATGATATATCATTGGAAAACCTGAAGGGCTTTTTAAAATGTCATGCCCCACACCAGTGTTTTTTTATTGCAGTAAGAAAGCATGGGTGACCTTAGAATTGTTAGAGGATTGGTTCCTGAGTTGTTGCATTCGCACGAGCCATGAGTATTGTCTGCAAATATGATTGCTTTCAAGATTTTATTAATTTTAGATAATGCTACGGGACACCCAATCGCGACCTGGCTGACCTGCACTCCTGATGTTAAGGTAGTTACTCTTCCACCTAACACCCTATCATCCAACCCATGGATCAAGGTGTTATAGCTCAGGCTATTTCTGCCAATGAGAAATCGTCAGAGAGTTTTTGGAAGGACTACAAACATTTTCCAATGTACAATTTTGAAACAGCTTTGATATGTGATGAGGTCACAGGTCAGCATGAATTGTAGCGGCGAAGGTCCTGAAAAGATATATGAATAGTTTCCAAAGGATTTAGTGAAGATGAACAATTTTAGATTAGTAATAAGATGGTGGGTAAATAGCTGAGTTAGAAATTGATAATGGTATGTTTAGCAGTTGGTGGAAAGTGTAGGAAGAGCGAAGTTAGGGATCTTATTGAATTGGATGAGAAATTTGTAGAGGAAGAAGAGAGAAAATGTAAAAAGTTAGGCCCAAATTAAAAGTTTTCAGTGAAACAAGTGGTAGAGGCATTTGCTACTATTAATAGGTGATGCAAATGTTTGGAAAATGGATCAAAATGTTGAGGTTTTGCTAGTGTTGACAGACTGGTCCAAGATGCCGGTTGTTAGGGAGATTTATACAATGAAAGAAAGGCAAATGTGCAGTCTAAATTGGCATTATTTATTTAGTCCCACATTGTCTCTCATTACCACCACTGCTGCCTCTTCATTCTAAAGATGATCCAATATCTTCAAGAAGCTACGGTTTGTTTGTATGAAGTTGGAAATTGATGACACCCAGTCTTGTCTCCTCTCTCTGCTTCATCCAATTAATAATGTAGTCTATGTTTATTTAAAAAATTATTGAGGTCCTCGTGTGCTTTCAGCTGACTACATTAAAAGGTAAGTTGATAGACACTTTGTTGGTTTTCATTATTGATTACTTTTACTGTACTGTATTTCATTTTTCTTAGAATTTCTTTTTGTATTATTTTCGCTTTTACTTAATTTAAGTACGCATCAAATCAACCTCGACCTATTTTGCCGGACGAACCCGTCAGAAGTCTCGTGAGAGACTGTATTTAAAATGAGTTTTATTCATAATCGTTGGGATGGACCGGGCTTTCAAATGAGAAAGATATTAGCTAAATTGTATAAAGATACATATCTTCATGACAAACATGAGCACGGAGGAAGTTTATCAGAAGCATCAAAGTATTAACTGATAAAACTCGGGAAAACAATTTCTGTATTAATTTTCGAGGATGCATTTAATATATACTTATTTTTACCTACAATTAGATACATATGACAAATTATATATCAGTAATAGTACATTATGCAAAAACTAAATTTAAAAAGATCAGAATCACACGAAATATTACACCCACCATCAGCAGAGGCGGAAAAATAAGTAAAGTAGTTCGTGAAACGTATTTCCTGGGTAATTAATGCTGACGATCGTGCCCAGTTAACTACGTGTCTCTTTACTTTTACGCAGTGATGACAGATGCCTCAGTACACAAGCAAATGGAAAGTATTTATTCCCCAAACGTAAATATGGAGAACTGTATCTAAATAGTACGTGGTTTTCTAAGGTATGGGGGTTTTGCATTTATTTACATTTATTTTTGGCAGAGTAGTAATCTTCAATGTACAACGAAGTTTTATACTGAATTTAATTGAATATTTATGTTACATTATTGTCGGATATGGGCAGTGGTCCCTCGGTCAACACCACAATTTGTTCCACAGAGTCGTTTGTTAACCAAATCCATTGTTTAAATGGGATATTGGGCAATTGGTTCCCAGCCTTCAAAGAAAAGTACATACAAAGTAAAGACCAAAACTCATAAAGTCAGAAACACTTAAAATTCTAAACGCCCTAAATCACTATATATATATGTGACATATATTAATTTTAGTTTTAAATCATCAATGTAATGTGATACAGGTGATTAATTTTTATCTCTTTTGCAAATATGACATTTTATTCAAATTATTCACTGACTATGATTCCAGCAATGCAAATTATATTCTCCAAACTTTAGTCTGAGAGATATTATATAAGATAAAACTGTAAGCCCAAAACCCTGGCTGGGCAGAGAGGTTTGATAGTTGTTCAAAGTCTGATGTGTGTTTATTTATCAGTCCTATGGACTAAGCTTTCTCTTATAAAATGCCAGTGAAATACCTGAATATAATTTGTTATTGTTGGATTCTTGTGATAGTATTAATTTAAATATAAACAAGCTTGCAATTTGCACTAGACATAAATAGTATCGTAATCATTGGTATGTGCAATATTGCTAGGTTTGCATTTAGGTCATTTATTTACATTTCTTCTGTAGGCAAGACTCCACATAGCTATCAGATCCCTTCCTATCTCTAGCCTTCTAGCACCTATTGTTTTTGGAAATTCTAACCTTCCAATGTCGTTTCCTGCTCACATGACACTACTGGCTTGGTGCTTCCTCTCTGATAAAATCCTATGTATCCTCCAGCTACATGCCCTATCCTCCACATGAAAACACACCCTAGTCCTACGCTCTATCTCTTGCACGAAAAGTCCATCTAAAAACCTCACCTGGCTGTCCCCAATCACATGACCTTACCATCTGGCAGGGTTGAACAACCGCCCTTTTTCTCTCCTCACCACAATCGTCCTGCCTCTTTCTCTTCCTCGCCAGCTTCTTTCAACACTCTGGTAGAGGTTACTGCACCACACCCTAGTCGGCTTTCCTGGAGTCTTGACTCCTTAGTCCCTGAAACAACCACTCTCCACGCCTGTTCCTTCAGTGACACCAACCTGAAGGAGTTCAGCCTGAGGGCTTCTTTCTTTCCCTTTAGAGCCGCCTATCTCTCTCCCTCAACTGCTCCAGCTGATCTGCAGAATAGAGTGGCCAAGGGTCAGCCTTCACACTACTCTTCCCCACAACACAACTAGATCCACGTGGCTATTTCCTATGGTCACTAACACGACAGTGCAATGCCCTTCTCCAAGCTAAGCCAGGTAGTATTCTGGTTCATCGCTTCCTATATACTTTTTTCAGTCTTCACCAGCACTACTTTTTTTCTTCAGTTTTCATTTATCAAAATATTGGTACCTTTTTAGTGTTAACGCTACTTTCATCACAGCTCAAAACCATCTCCTGGGGCGCCTAAAGCTAAAAAAAACAATCGCAATGGACGTGAAATTAAATGTGATCACCCGCCTTCAGAGAGGAGAGTGTGTGTCGAATGTTGGCCGCATGCTTGGTTTAAGTGAGAGCACTGTTCATACCCTGTGCGGTAGGTAGCAAGTATTAGGCAGCTAGCAAACAGGGAGGTACTACTGCCTGGGAAGATATTGGAAGCATAATGTGGTCTATGGTAGACCCTACTGTTATATGGCATCACGAAAATTGTGACCAGGTTGGTGATCTGACTTTCTGCCTCATTTACATACAATTGCAGGGTCTCAATTGTTTCTCTTACTGTTGACAACACAACATACATACAGTATTACCCCGCTTTAAGCGGTTTCACTTAACGCGATTTCTCATATACGCAGTGCCTCGCCAGAACCGAACTTTCACTTAACGCGGTTCATCTACTCATATACGCGTGAAGCGGCGCGGGCACGATGCGCACAAGGTCGCCCAGTCATCAAAACATTACCGAGTTCTTCACCCGCCACCCACCACAGCCGGCCCAAGTCAGTGATAGTGAGGATATGGACTTATATGGACTTTGAGGGGTTTGACAAAGAGGCCCTGCAAGCCTCTGTGGTGGATAGTGATACAATTGATACAAGTGATACAGGTGAGGGCCAATAATCTGCCCTCTGCCTCGGAACCAACCCACCATCCCCGTGTGCCCAGCCATCTTTTCTACTAATGTAAGTGTTAAAAAACCTAATATTATTTATATTTCTCTTAATTATTAATTGTGTATGCATACCATCATAAAGTTAAGATAATATTTCTACTACAACATAGTTGTGTGTTGTCAAAAAGTGGAGTTTGGGGGTTGGGCCAGTCTCTATTGGAATAAATCCCATATGTTCTGTCCTTCACTTAATGCGGTACCCTGTGGGTTCAATTGACCGCGTAAAGCGGGGTACAACTGTATATTGTTTTTCACTTTTGATCTTTTTTTCATTTTTGTATTTCTTTATGGTTCTTAATTATTATTATTATTATTATTATTATTATTATTATTATTATGATTATTACATTTTTGCCTCCTTGGCCCCGATGTGGGTCAGTGACCTGTGCTTGGGTGGGCTAATCCACAAAAAAAAAAAAATCGCTAATCTGTACCATTTACATGTATTCTTAAGGGAACATGATGTTTAATTTGCATGTTTTTTAATTAAGCGGTGGTTTTCAAGAACATAACATCGTGTAAAATGAGAGGTGGGTGCACTTATCAATCCCTGTAAATGGCAAAATATTAAATGATCTAACTATGACACAAAGATTACAAAAGGATTCATATATTTTAATGACTCACTTTGTAAAATACCAGCTCTCTCCATATTTTGCCACATTTCTATGCCACCTGCAGCTGCTTGTAGTTTATGTTTCTCAATGTACTTGATAATCACCAAATCTTCTTTGACGGAATAAGGTTCATAACGCCTGTGAAAGACAAATGGATGTATTACCTGCCTAATGGTACAAAAAGAAACAAAATTGTTTATTCACATTTAAAACTAATCAAGTTAAAATCAACACCAAAACCTTTTAGCTGGAAGAATGTCTATCAGATTTCTTTTTCACTATTTCAAGCCTTTTTTCCACTGACAGCAAAGTGGCCAGTGTCAAGAGAAAACACTCACACATTATCACTGCTGTAAATGATGCAACTGTCAGGGTACTTCACTTCAACAAGGAGCCAATTCTGGTTTACTACTGTCACTTCACACAAACCTGCATCACACACCACCACCACCAGCAAACCCTTCCCCATCCACCACTTGATGCCAATGCTCTCCATCAACTTAATTATTTTGTCTGAATAACAAAGAATAAGGTAGAAAACTCAAATACCTCATAGTATTAAAATGCTACAGAGCAAACATTATCACACTACACTATTGTTAACTTTGTTTGGTTAAAAATAAAGTACTACTATATTACATAAACCGACATCCAACTTACCTAATTTTTCTTATGGTATTTACAGATCTTCTTTTATCTCCTAGTATACATCCAGTAGTGGGATTGTAGAGACGATCAAAACGTCCTGTGAAGGAGTCTCTATATAAGGCCTTGTCAGGTAAAGATGCATTTTGATCACCTTTTTGAGGAATCTCCTCATCTTCACTGGTGTTAAAGTCATCTTCGCTGAGAAAAGAGTGATCATCTTCACTCTCAATATTATCACTGTCATACGTGTCATATAGTTTTGTTAGTTTCTTTCTCTTCTCTGGAGAAGCTGCTCTCTGTAATACATATTATCATAAATTATGCTGCTGATTTTATCAAGGGTTAAAGCGAGAATTAAACTGATATTTATTACTTGTACTGTACAATGAAGTGTGGAGCAGAATGTTGTTGAAGTAGTAAATACCCTTCTAAGTCTCCTCAATGTGCTCTACCTACTAACTCTAATCAAAGTTTCTTTTGGTGGAAAAATTATAAATATAAACATACAGTAAAACCCTATTAAGGCACATCCCACTAAGCCAGATATCACTTAAGCCAGCCAAAATCTGCCCCAAAATAATTCACAAATTTAAATACGGAATTAAAAAATTAACAAGTAACGTCCTCGACAGCATCCCTTCAGCTCTCTCGCTCTGTCGATAGTGTTTCATTGCCATTTAGACGTGTTGAACTTTATTTTCAAACATATTTGACATTGCCAGTAATGAGGTTACATTGAGTAGAAGTAGGATACATATTTTTGAATTTTATTTAAAAATTAAGACAATAACCATGGCCCCTAAGAAGGTGTTTGGTATCCATTAGGGTGGTGAGAAGGTTAAGTCTAAGACCTTATCAGTGAACAAAAAGTTAAAGGTGATTGAAAAACTAGAAAAGGGTGCTACTCCCTCACAAATATGTGGTGAATACAGAATTTCAAAAGTCGGTGTCGGATATACGAAAATACAAAGATAATTTGCACAAATATGCCATAAAATTTAATGTGGACCAGGAAAAATCTGGCATTAGAAGAATGAGGAAGGTTGGGAATGAGGATTTGGAAGGGGCAGTGTATAAAAGTTCGTACAGCAACGTGCGAGTGGAATAGCAGCCACAGGTGTGAACATCCAGGCAGCTGCCAGGCAGTGCTGGTTGGCTATTCAGATTGCGAAGGCACCACAATATTGTGAGAAAAAACTGTGGTGAGAGGCTGCGTGCTGATATTCGCACTGTGAAGCCATTTAGGGAAAAATTTAAGGACTTAATGGATGCCAAAAACTTTCAATTATGCCAACTGTACAATGCAGATGAAACTGGACTCTTCTGGAAAGCTTTACCAAAGAATATACAAGCCTCCAGAAGCAAAAAAAGTGTGCCCAGTAGGAAACTTTCAAAAGAGCGAGTGTCTGCAAATGCCAATGAGAGCCATATGCTTACACATGTGGTAGTGGGGAAGAGCAAGAAGCCTCGTGCAGTCAAGGACATTATGCACAGGCTCCCAGTCCACTACTATAACTCCAAAAATGCATGGTTTACAGGACCCATAACCTCAGACTGGTTTTTCAGACATGCTGTGGTGGAGATCAGGCATAAGCAGGTGTAATCGGTCACTACATGTCTTAGGCTCCGCACACCAAGGAATGCCATCCTGAACCTTGAAATCAATTTGATTCTTGTCTTTGACAGTTCAGTCAGAGCATAGATTGAAAAGGGAATCTTAGGAAACGGAAATGAGTTCGTAGTCTTAGTTTCAAACGTCAAAGTGTACAGTAATGTAGTACATTTACATAGTTGGGGTGAGTGGAATTAGAGCTGAGAGGAGGAGGAGTGAGGAGCACTGACGCTCTCAGGCGTCAGTCCAGCACCTGAAACTCCTCCACCCATAGGTAATGTCTAGCTCCATGTTATACCTCGCCACATTAAGTGATTTTGACTTGGTTAATAGTTTGAATATGCAAGTGATACAGTAAGGTAACTGATGTCTTTTAAGTGAAGTATTCTTACGCCCATAGCGTCCTTTTGAAACGTTGACGTTCATGTCAACAACCTCAGTCCAGGGTCTGAAACTCCTCCACCCACAGGTTCCTCTCGCCCAAGAGCCTTGTAGATTGGGACGACCTCCACACTAGTTTGGGAGATGGATTAAGGCCAGTAAACTCGGGTAAATTCGTGAATACGAGTGTTGGGAACTAACCACCACCTCTGGGGTCCAGTCAACTGACAAGCCGTTCACCTGACGTGTTCACTGTCCAGCTTGTTGATATCACAGGCCGAGCAAACACCGCCAGCCCCCATCATTGTTATGGATGAGTCCACTACTCAGTAGGGCTATATGGTGGCTGTGTTATTCTTCCGAGTACACCTGTATGTATTACCTGAATTGTCTGAGTGTTTGGAGCCAGCAAGAGTAGGTTGACCATCACTTTGCTTGTGGGCAAAGGTACCGCAGTGGTGAAGAGAAACTACTAATTCTGGTGATGTTAAAGTATTAGTGTTGGTGCTGTAACTGGCATCATTGCCACTTGTAATAATGGTGCTCAAAGGTGCTATGTAAGAGTATTATGTGTGTTCTTGTACATGTACACCCAGTCATGGTGTAAGTAGAAAATGTACCTAAGTTTAACAGTACAAAATGAGTAAAGCCAGGGAGTTGACCCCTGTAGCTGAGTGTTACTGAAATTATTCATAAAATCTAACTTCATTTTAATAAACCATTTGATAATTTTAATAAACCATTTTATTTGCATGTTTGGAGTATACTGCAGGAAACGTCTAGGGCCCCATCCATGATGAAAGGGTTAAGGAATAATAACTTTTCTGCATTGATCTCTGATAATTTCCACACTTGGGAAAGCAAAATTAGCTTGTAAAACACATTAGTAATATAAATATCATAGATAACAAGAAAAAGATTACAATATTTGTGCGCGTTTTTATTACCGACAAGAAAGCCAAGAAACTTCATTTATTTGATCATTTAAAGGAAGGCACGAGCGCCGCCAAGAATGGCCGTGTGTGTGTGTGTGTGTGTGTGGGTGGGTGGGTGGGTGGGTGGGTGGGTGGGTGGGTGGGTGGGTGGGTGGGTGGGTGGGTGGGTGGGTGGGTGGGTGGGTGGGTGGGTGGGTGGGTGGGTGTGGGGTGGGGTGGGTGTGGGTGTGTGTGTGTGTGTGTGTGTGTGTGTGTGTGTGTGTGTGTGTGTGTGTGTGTGTGTGTGTGTGTGTGTGTGTGTGTCACTCAATCTCCAGGAATCACCTCCCTGCATTATGGGGCGTCACTTTAAACACCAAACACGTGGGAGGGTATTCCAGTCCCGGTGGCCTAGGGACAATGTTGTTGGTCTGCTCTCAAAAGTGGCAGCAGGATAGGAGCCATTATGTCTGAACCCTCCCTGGCGACCTACCCTGTTTGGGAAATCCTTTCCCTAGGAAGAGGGGCCAAACACCACTCTGGTAAAGCTAACCAGATCATTGGGACCCCAGCAAGGTGGCTTCCAGTGAGGGGGACCTTACAGAGGATTAATTCATCCCAGAAGTGACAAAGCTTAAATAGTTATACTTTTTTCCAACTGAAACCAAATTTAGCACACAATAGCCTCAATAATTGTAAGTGCTGACTAGTTACTCAAAGCTCTAATGAGACCTTTCAGATTTTTGGATAACAGCTGTCAAAGTCCCTTTCATATGAGATAGATTGTACAGTGGTAGGGAAAAGTAATCAGTACTATATCCAAAAGGATTATCAGATCAACCCTGGGGTACATTAAAGGGGGCTGATGACTTATAACAACCACAAGAAAGCTGCCACATATTAATGTTACCTGACCAAAAGTAGACTACAGAAAATGTCTTACCTTTGTAGTTCTGGTAGGCTTCACACTTAAGGCTCCTTGAAGGACATGATTCCTATCAGGCTTTGTTGGTGTTGGCCTTTGGATTACTATTTCACTTTGCGGTGAGCTCATGTCACAAGCAAATCTTGATCCTTTCTTATTTTTCAACGGTTGGAACCGTTTTCGGTGCATGCGATTTATTTCTTCCGGTGATGTTGAATACTGTTCACGTAAGGCTCTTTTAGTGTATCTAATTGATCTATGCTTGGTTTTGGGCTGGCCAGCTGCCATATATGAAATTTGCCTTTCTTCAGGGCTAGTATCTACATCTGAAGAGTCTTTTTGTATGGGAGCCACAGTGTTATCATCTTTCAAGGGTGAGGCATCTTTTTCATTACTTCTCATGTGATTCTTCAGGTTCTGCTCATCTTTTATTACAAAACTAAAAGAACCCGAAAAACAGGATGAACTCCCCGATTCACAACTGGATTCACTGTCTGTTAAAAAATTTTGGTTAAAGTTAGCATCAGGGATTACACCTTCAACTAGTGATCCTGTGTTGAACAGCTTATCCTCAGATAAAGTGTTTTGCATACCATCAATAATATCACAATTAGTTTCTTGTGATGAAATTGACTTACAATTTTCTTCCATTTCTAATTCATTGTTCCTGCTAGTACTTACATCCTCCAAGTTTTCTACATTATCTAAATCTTCTGTTTCTGGTATAAAAGTTTGGACTTCATCGTTTTTTGGTGCTCTCTGTGTGTGATCCTGCAGTTCTGAGGCCTGTGTTTCTTCACAAACATCCACACTCGAATCCGCCGACTCCAGTTCAAGATCGAATTGTTCCGTCTCCTCCCTTTCTGAATCAGTTTCTATGAACATATCCGTTGACACGTCTTCCTCATTATCCACATCTAAGGGTTGGAAACCTTCAGACATTGCATCTTCACATCTTCCTGTACCCTGTATAAATATTGGCAAGTTTACAGAAAATGGCTCTGAACAATCCAAACAATTCTGTCTTCCTGGAGAAATTTCCACATGGGGCTCCTGTCTCTCTTCTTCCTCCATATGTGAAACTCCAGTGTTTGTTTTGGGAAGTATGCTATTTTCTTCCACTGCATGGTTTTGTCTCTCCACTTCACTTCCATGAATAATGTCAGCATTCTCTCTAGTGCTGCAGTCCGTGTACCTGGAATAACAAAGGAGAACATATAACACACACAACCTCCACAAAGTAACAGCAACACTGTACAGTACTTGTCAACTCAGTCCAACTACTAAACACCTTTTTCAAAACTGTGACCCTAAGTTTTGTCCAAATGTAAATAGGCATCTGATGACATTGCTGGTTATTCTTGGTTGAACTGTTTACTAATGTTTGTAACTTTGTATATCTGGGTTGTTTTGAAACGATGCAATTTGAATTGAAGTGAAAAAAGTATTGTCTCAAGAATTGTTTATTACTGTATAATGTGTTCTGTTCTTCACTGTTTGGCTTTCTACTGTACTACAGTATTCAAGTATATCCTTTGCTTTTAGTATAAGAACATTAAATATGTCTTCAATGTTTAATTCCTTAGAAAAACTTTAAATACTATGAATGTTTCACTAAATATGCTTTCAATTTTAATTATAAAAGAAAATCAATCAGTTAAGAAAGTCTAAACTGGCTAAAAACATTTACGTACCACATATTGGATTCATGACACTCACGGGTTCTATTGCTCCACAAGACTCGGGTCAATCATAATTTAGTATTGTAAGTGTTTGAAAAATAGAATTAAGTGTTTAAATAAAAAAAGTGGTGTCACAAGGAATTCATTAGTGAATGTTTTGGCGCTGTAGTACCCTGTTCTCTCTCTCTCTTGCACCCCTCATCTTTTACATGTTTCCATTAAATGGCTTGTATCAGGATTCATTTAGCACAAATTTGCCTGGCACAAAACTTTTTATGAACCTTTCTCTCACATCAAGTGTGGACTACCCGTAATTATGTGGTACTGTACTGTGCCTCCAGCGATACTTTCTCTTTTGTTTCAACCTTAAACGATTGTCTTTAATGGGGAGTGTGGGAGTGTGGTCTAACCAGATTTGATAAGGGCCTAACGAGAACTAATAGGTACAGATGACACTTATGTGAGGGACTGGCTGTTGCCATGATCGCTAGTTTGTTTTTATTTCATTAATATACAGTATTCTCGTATGATCAGCCTATTATGGTGTATGTTTCATCATAAATAATATAACATAGTATTAAATAATACAACAAAATACAATACAGTACAGTGGTCCCACGGTTAATGAACACAATTCGTTTCACAGTCGTTCGTTAACCGAAAGTTTCTTCATTTATTTTCCTTCATTTACATGCACACACCATACTAAAAGAAACGTAAAAGAAATAAATTACCGTGAGTGCAAACCTGTACTGTATATGTACTAAAATTGTTATGTCTAGTGCAAATTATATCTTGTTTATATTCAAATTAATCACTATCTTACACGAATCCCAGCAATGTAAATTATATTCTCCCAGGTCATTTCACTGGCATTTTATAAGAGAGAAGCTCAGTCACTTAAGGACTGATAAATAAACACACATTAGACCTTCAGCACCAACTGTTAAACATATCCCCTCGCTCCCTCCCTCCCTCTCCCCCATCTGCCCAGCCAGGGTTTTAGGCTTACAGTTTTTATCTTATATAATATCTCAGACTAAAATTAGGAGAATATAATTTGCCTTGCTGGAATCCTTGCAAGACAGCGAATAATTTAAATATAAACGTCATATATTTTGCACAAGAAATAAAAATTAATCACCTGTATCACATTACAGTAGTGATTTAAGACTAAGAGTATATACAGTCAGTTCTGCTACAACGCGATAGTTGTGTTCTTGTACAACCTAGCGTTGTAGAAATTTGCACAATAGAAATAACAGGGCTTATGGAGAAAATAGGGTTAGGTGCAGATTACAGTGGTCCCTCGGTTAACGAATTACCTTCCATAAGAATATTCAATTCGGTTAACGAAAAAAATTCGGTTAACGAAATTCTTACGAAATCATGTCAACATGTTTTTGCTTGCTCACCAGCTGGAATATTAGTCCGCCAATACAGTAATCGGCTCTAGGGCTTAAATTCGTTCCCATTTTAATAAATATCAAGAAGTTTGTACTCTTCAATAATTTTAAGAGTTTTATATTAAAACTTTTAGTCATTTTAACAATTATTTAACATAAGTGAAGTCCAGGAAACTAGTTTTTAGTGCGCCAAACAGCCACTCAACTCACCAAACAGGCGTCAGTTTGTATCTCTGGTCAGTAGAGATAGCATCATGCTTGAGACTCTCTTGAACATAAACTAATTTTACATTTTTACAATACAATTATTGGTCATTCTGAAATTTATTTCACATATTGACAATATATAGTGCAGTGCAGTGTTGATTTAAAGAAAATAATCTTGAATTACACCAAGTGAACTTAAAATTTTATGGGTGAAATGACGTCATGAAGCATGGGGTGATTTCTCTTCCACCCCCACTTCCTTCTCTTCTCCCTTCTCCTCCACCCCCACTTCTAATTCCCATCATCATCATCATCAACCAGGAGCCTTCTACATACACATCTCAAAGTAGGTGTACTTTACTGCATTTATTTTTACTTTGTATGTAATTTTCGGTGAGCTGGAACCAATTACCCAAAATCCCATTGAAACAATGGTTTCGGTTAACAAAATTTTCAGTTAACGAATGACCTTTTGGAACGAATTGTGTTCGTTAACCGAGGGACTACTGTACTCGAAATCGAAAAAATTTAGTAGTTAGCCTAACACAAAGGATAGAACAGTCTAAATAAATGTTACATTCATATCTAATAATGAAATCATACAGTAAATGCAACACATTACCTTGAAAAAATATGAATATAACTTGATGGGGGAGAAGGGTGATTTTGAGGTTGAGGAGTCATGCCTTTCTTTTACGATTACCACAGGGAATGCGATCACCAGAACGCTTCTTGGAGATATTCTTCTTTTCCATATTCACAGTTAATACCACAAAATTATGAAAAATAGTAAGCAAAAATCACTGAGGACGCTTCAAAACAACCCATGTGTTTCAACTGATCGTGTGATGGAAACAGAGAGCGCGAGTGCAAAACGCTATTAGTCCGCACTGCGAAACATTATTATTATTTTTTTTTATACAGTATTTATGGGAACAGCTAAATTTGCATAAAAAACTGATGAAATTTATAGAGTCCCTATCAAACAACGCTTCACAAACAAAACACATGAATCAATTCAACATGTGATGTCGAACGTGAACTGTAAACACTGCATAACCCCGCGCCAAGCGACAGTACACTTAAAATGTTCGAGTGGAATCGCGTTACAGCCAACACACGTTCGCACTTTACAAATAGCATTCTTCTATTCATCAATCGCGTTATAGCCGATTCGCGTTGACAAAACATTCCTTGCAAGGAACTTTATAAATGCAACCAATTGTGTTGTTGCGGGAGTTCTTGATTAACATTTGTTGAACAGTGCATGAGTTTTTAAATGCCACATTGACGTTCCAGGTTTTTAGTTGTAAAGGAATGTGTGAGAAATTTTTGTGAAATGGTAATATTAAGATATTCTTATGGTCATGGGTGGGCTTGGGATCAGTTCTATAAAAAGTTTTCTTAGTAATGTTTAAGCATTTATAAAGTTCCTTGCAAGGAATGTAATATGTTTTACTTAGGCCAGACAGGTAAAGATCTTGTAACTAGACTTAAACAACATAAATATAGTGTTAGGACAGGCCAGGAATCCAATGCTCTGTTTGTTCATTTGAGGGATAACAAGCATTGCATTGACTGGGATAATGCCTCCTCAATATTACCTTGTAATTCAATTGATAGTAGGAACATCATAGAATCTAGTCTCATTAAACATACCAAAGCATTCAACATGAATTTGAGTAATGGCATGTACAAACTGGACAATTTTGTAATTAAGAAGATTTGTAACCAGGTGAGAAGGTTGGGTCACCTTACCCTCTGACCTGACTACCGACCGTTGCGGTGCTATTTAAAGATTAGTAGGGTCATTACCTAATACCTGACCATTGTGGACCTGATCTCACCCTCCTCTGTATATATACACCTTGTTTTGTACTTCTCTTTAGTCTGTACTCACCCCTGAAGATGTGAATTACACGAAAGCGCTTGGGAACTTCGTGTTTTCTTTTTTCCTTGTGGTTATCAGCATATACCTGGATCACGCGCACCTACAGTGATTTACTTGCATATATATATATATATATATATATATATATATATATATATATATATATATATATATATATATATATATATATATATATATATATATATATATATATATATATATATATATATACACAGTATACTTTTCTGTGAACTGGAACCAATTACCCAATATCCCATTGAAACAAATGATTCGGTTCGCAAAATTTTCGGTTAACGAAAGACTGTGGAACGAATTGTGTATACAGTAGGCTCTCACCAATAACGTTTAATAGGTGCCTCAAAAACACCGTTATTAGCGAAAACGTTATTTGTGTGACATTAAAATACATGTAAAAACGGTTTATTGGTGCCGCTGCCACAAGAATTTCACTCATTGTTTCCCCTTGAAGCCCTCCTAACACTTTTTGTTAGCTGAAATAAAAAGAATTGCTATTCAATCATCAAAATAAAGAGTTTGAGTAATATAACACTTAGTTTTTGAGGTGCTTGGTGTGATGATTGTTCCGTATCTGAGGGCCGCTAACACTTGCACTGTCTTTCATTCTACAAGCTAACCATTTCACAAATAAATGCTCTGTTATCACTAACAACCTGTTTCTATCGCCTTTATCATTCATAGCTCGCCTCGCATTTCCATCACTACCGAACTATTTTTAGCCAGCACAATACTCTTCTTGGTCTCCTCTAAGTTCCTCTTAATATTTCGCACTGTAGACTCGGGACAGTTCAATTTCCTCACTTTAAATGTTCCCAGTCATTCAGGTGGCAAATCACTCCCTCCACCACCTCCCCTAGCCCCCACAGGCAAAAATGCGGAAGCCATTATTGATCACCGACCCTGACAACCACTGGTTATAGTGGCGAAAATCTCACAAAGTGGGCGCTGCGCTGTATTCCACTGAGCGTGT